TTATATAAATTTGCTATATTAATATTAATTAATTTATATTATTTTTTTATATCTAAATTATGTGATGAATAAATAACAAAATATCAAATAAAGAAAATAAAGAATATTCCATTATAATATAAGGAACTGATACCAGCTGGCACTATAATCGCGGGCACTATGAGTATAAAGCTTAATGAAAAGTCTTATATTATTTTTTTATATCTAAATTATGTGATGAATAAATAACAAAATATCTCCACTAAAAAATAAAGAATATTCCATTATAATATAAGGAACTGATACCAGCTGGCACTATAATCGCGGGCACTATGAGTATAAAGCTTAGGTTATCCTATGAAAAGTCTGCCTGTATTTGACTTTTTTGATATTATAGATTATAGCTTAATATTGTCTATAAAACAAGAACCATGACAGAAATAATCGAATTACGTCCTGATAGAAGTTTGATGAATTCATCTTTCGAACAATATCAATTTTCTACCGATGCTGCTCCTATAATTTCTGAAATCAAGCTGAAAAATCGTAAGATTTTAATTTATATTTTATAATCTATATCTAGAGATACAGCTTTTTATAAAAATACTAGATTTTTCTTTAATCAAAAAAATTATATTTTTCAGATGTATACAGAATAGAACCAAACCATAATCAAGAATCTTGGTTGGAAGCAAGACTATTTGCATTTCATAATCATTTATTTAAGAATGTGTATGATATATCGTGTTGGTTTATTGATAAAGATTGGACTGTTTGGCGTTTAGATAAGGATAATTCCTTGGATGAAATGTATAAATTATATACTCCAGACACAGACTTGTCAAAACTAATGTACAATCCATCAATTGGATTTACTTTGAATAATATTACAGCAATTTCCAATGGTGGTGAAAAACTAGAGGTATTAGTAGGAAATACAGGACAGAATATGAAAGTTTTTTCACTGGGCCCTATAGAACCTGGAGTTATTATGAATGTGCAATATATAGAAAAAGATTTGAAGATTATTGTAACTATGTGCACTATTGTTGCACAAAATGATGAAAAGAAATATACACAGCTCACATTGTTATCGTATGCCTTGCAATACATAGAAAATGAGATAAAGAATATTTATTATATAGATAAACAGTTACTGAAGGTACAAGGCACTGTAGATTACGTCTATATGGAAAAAAATGGTAATTATTTGCATTCTATTTGTCAAAATAATATTGATTTCGAGAAAGGAGATGCACAAGAATCTGAAAATAAAATAAAACAATCAAATATTGATTTGCAAATAAAGACTCCAAAGTATTACTGGTCACAAGATGAAGATTCACTTACTGTTTGGATTAAAATACCTAAACAATGTACTAATAAACAGCCTAAAATACAAATCAAGCCATTAGAATTATCTGTTGTAATGGAAAATGAAATATTAATACAAGGAGAGTGTCAACATAGATTAGAGGAGAATATGGCAACTTGGAGATTTAAAGAAGACACATTGCAAATTGATCTAAATAAATATGAAAATGGATTAATGTGGAGTGAATTAATCAAAGGTGACACAGGAGGTGAATGTTTACCTAACGAAGTTCTTGCTGCAGAAATTCATACAAGGTATTTTTCATAATTTGCATATTCTAGCGTTATATATTTATCCTTAAGTAATATATATATGATACATATTTAACATTTTGTATAATACTTTTATAATCATATATGATTCTCTTTTACTTCAATTTTTTAAAATAATGTAAACACATATATGTTACAATATATAATACGATATATACAATTGTAACATATAGTATACAATATATACAAATGTAATATAATCATATATTATATATGTAATATCACCATTTATAGGCTAGCACACTTATGTACAGATCAGAACAGCAGTACTGGAGGAGATCAACCTTGTGTAGGGTTTAATGCTGAGCAATTAGAAGAGTGTGATCTAGAAGGAAAGGATAACTTTTTACAAAGAATTAATCTTTCTATGCAGACAACTACGCATCTAGCTAGATTGGGAAGTAATAATCATGTGCTGTTCACATGCAAAAGGAAATATGGGCAAGCAGTATGCCTGAGGCATGATCATGATGCTTGCGTTTGGGTAATAGATGATGTAAATGATGATGCTGAATGGGATATAAAACATACCCATAGTTTTCCCAGATTTGGCTATGTCGAAGCTAGTAAAACCAATAAAAAATTTTGTGTGTCTCCAACTGGTAAGACATTAAAATAAAATGTTTAAATATATTTCTCTGCAATTACATTAAAAATATTAATGTACACATTTTTATTTCGTAGATGGTTCGTATATAGCTATAGTAGAACATGTGAGACATGTATTTTTGTATGAGAAACCTAATGATGGGGCAAAGACAGCCAAGCAAAGAATTATAGATCTAAATTGTGAAACTTCCCCCATTATGGGTGCTGTTGCTACAAAGAAATATTTGTTTGTACTTTCGAAAGATAAATTATATCGTTTACAAATCCCTTTATGATAATTAAGCTGCGTTTATTATTAAAATAAATAATTCCAAATATTTTTTGAATATTGTATTTTAAAATAACACATATAGTATTAAATATACTGTATACATACATGAGTAAGCTGTAGATGGGTAGCAACAACATAGTGTAGTCAATTAGGTTTGCTATCTCATCTTTTTCATTTGCGAATATCTCTCGTTAGAAATAACATTTTATATTCTGCTCAATTTTCCATGACTTAATTATAGAGTAGCCGAAATAGAAAAATTAAATTTAATAATTTGTTATTTCTTTTCTTTACATGCATATACGTGTATTAATTCTAATTTAATAAGTTATTCTAATTTAATAAGTTATTTATATTTACATTTAATAATTTGATATTTAATCCTGGTTATAAAAGAAAAAAAAATGTAAAATAAAGGCACAGATTCTTTTTTATTTTATGATATAATTTTTAGTGTCTTACATTTGAGATATATAAATATATAAAAATGTTACAAGTTTATCGAATAATTATTTTAAATTGCACGATCTTCTCTTTACATGTGTATTTATTTGAAATTACACAATCTCACAGCATATCATCACGTTTTATTTCAAAAGATTTTATACGTGACATGACGAATAAATTGATTCCGCGTTTTTTGCAGATCGTGCATAATTCAATGTAAATATATTATATACCTGTTGCAAAGTGTATACATAAAAGTTCACGTTTCATACACTATTCATTGAATTAAATCAGATAGGATAACGGTAACAAGCATTTATCGCAATAAAAACTTGATAAGGCCTCTCTTTTTCCCGAAACCACAACACGTTCATAAGCGCTGATTTTAACGTATCTTGCTCTTGTGTAAATTGTGTCTTTGCGTGAGAATATTGGTCTTTAACCAAGTTACATAAATTTAGAGAAATCTTAGGTGAGGAAATATGTGATGCATCGTATTATACTCTTTTTTTTCTATTTTAGATCTCGTGTATCTGAATAAAATATTAAAATCGCTTCTATTTATTGTAAATTTTTTAATTAACTGTTATAGAATGTTTGTGTAACAGTGAGAAAATCTTTGATTGTGTTCCATCGTTATTTCAAAATTGATCGAAATAACGATATCTCATTTTATTCTATTTTTATTTGCGTTTTATTAAAAACTGATCAATTTGCATTCTCGTATATTATTCTCTCAATAATTAAGGAAAGAATTTATGAAAGGTTTAATTAAATATAAGATTAATCTTTTTTTTCTGTTATAATTTACGTAGAACAGATTGCTGCGACGAAAAGATCAAAAAGAGATGAGACTCACGTTTATATTGCTGTCCATTTTCGTGTTCTCTGGACTCGTTTCAGGGACGGAAAATTATCTGGATATGTATGACAATGTGGACGTAGATGCAATTCTTAAGAGTGATCGTCTTCTAAATCAATATATGGATTGTATTCTCGAAAAGGGTTCCTGCACCGCCGATGCACGCAGTCTTAAACGTAAGTGCATTTTATTTTTTATTTCGATACTTTATCACAATAATTCTATAAAAGCTGTATTTTTCTTAAGCAAAAAGGAAAATCGTATTTAAGTAAGAAAAGAAAAATAACTCATATATATTTATACTGAAATATAACGCAACGTATATATACATACAAGTTTTTACGAAATAATTTATTCATATACATATTGAGATAAACTTAAATAAATCTCGATGTTCTCGCATATAGGTGAGCTTCCACACGCGGTAGCCACAATTTGCGAAAAATGCAATTTAAAGCAGAGGCAAGCAGCAAGAAAAATAAGCAATCATTTGAAAGAGCATAGACCAGAGCTCTGGGCGGCGTTCCTTCAAAAATATGATCCTAACAAAGAGTATATTGCAGATTTCGAACAATTTCTAGCACAAGTAGAAGAATAATCTTTACTATACTTTATTATTATTTTTTTCAATATATGTATATTATAATAAATAATTATGTTTTCTCATGATATCGATAAATCAATATCATGTGTTTACATATGTGTACATTAAACGCACGCGTATAATAAATATACCTATGTAATGCTGTTCCTCTGCCTTAAGTATCTTCGTCTCATAAAGTTACAATTCGCCAATTACATTTCTCATAAAATTTTACGAAACTTATTAAAAAATATACTATATTGCAAAAGATTTAATTAAGTTAGATCATGTCATAATCGTGATAAAACTGTAACTTATTAATTATGCATTTTTTCTTTGCTTGATTGCTATTTCTACTACGCGATGGAAAGTGTCAGGTTCATTTTTCATAAACCATTCGGTAACCGTATCAAAAAAGTATATTTGCTTCTCCGTACATTTGCTACATCTCGTAACAAATGCTTCTGCAAATTTTTCTAAAAAGAAAAAAACAATATTAAAATAATATAAATGACAAGTATTGTAGTGTTAAAAGTTTAAAAGCATAAAAAAATGTGTGTGATTTAACAAGTTTATTCTTTCCTAAAAATATTATTTCATTATAAATCTTGACATGAAGAGTGATATGTGAAATATTATATACGTGTCACCGTAAACATATTTTGGGCGTTTCCGGTAGTTTAAATTAAAAAACAAAGAGAAGGAAAATGGGGAATGATTACCTTTTAAGAAGCGTGCAGATCCCGTAATACAGGCAGAAGTGCCCATTACACAGCTGACATATTGATTCCTCAAGCGAGGATTAGCCAACACTGCATCGACATCGATGTTATCATACTTGGTCGAATATTTTTCATCTGCTGCATGCGCAACCAACACGATACATGTCACAATAAGGCAGGAAAATGTGCAAATAGCTAATTTAATCATTTTAGGAAAAAATTATTGAATGCGTTTCGTTCTCCAATAAGTATTTGTATAAAACTGAACGCTACAACGTCTCCGATTGCTCGTATTTATAGATGACGAGAACGATGAAAAGTCTCTGAACAAAGAGGACGCCATGGCCATTTGATGACTGGTCATCACTCTCATAAAGAAAGAAGGCAAACTGGAGTTGTTCTCCTATAGCAGAATAAAAAAATCACAAATCGCGTGATTTAATCAAGGTTGATATCTGGTTTGTCAAGAAATCTTAATGCGTTAAATAAACCAGCCAAGGGTAAGAGTAATGAATATATATGTTTCCTGGAAACTTTGTGGACTTCCTGCTGTTTTGGGATTTTTTTTTTTAATCTGGTTGATCATTAACTGTTTGTACAAAATATACTAAAAATACATCATTATTTATTTCGTCTCGAATAAATTTTGTGTTTCCTCTCGAACAAACTATATGGCGTAGTGGATAAAAGAAGTATTTACGTTACTATTACTTAATTTTGTTAGAAACTTTTACTTTTATACAAAAAAATATTAATGCATTATTTCTATATTATTCTTTGTTCACACTTATTTGTTCCCGAGTGCATACGGGTGATGTTTTCGAATGCAGCCTTATTATGGTGTTGAAATATCCACAGTGTTATAAAAAAATTACGCACATAATTATCCGTTCGTTAACACGGATTTTTGTAAGCAATTACTATGCTCACGATAGAGTTCGGATTGTACTATTTAATTTGATATAATATTTGTTATGGTTTATCTCTTTTAGTTTAAAAGATAAAAGAGGGTGTCTATATATATATGCTCACGTGTATATATAAACCAGTTTTGAAACGAGTTCGGCAACAGCTAAAAACTTTATTAATTCGTTTTTTAAATATGAAAATGATCTTTAAATATTATGAGTTTTTTGCGTGATTATATATATACGAAAATATATAGCTAAAGACTAATTTAGTTTTAATAAAAGTCAAGAGATTATTTACACAATTGATCATATGAATAATATATTAACGGCAACATTTTCTTTTAAACTTACGAATACGGAAATTTATGTATACTTATATAGCGTTTTATATAAACATATGTATTTATTATTATATATTATTTCTTCTTGCGTTTCGTGACTTTATATGGACAATTGCTTGCAGTTTTTGACTGTAACATTTTGAGGATGTGATCAAAACCAATGTATATGGCTCTTTAGCTTATCATACTTGTTCTTTATACTAAAAGCAAATAATTTGCGAACGAAAATAACATTCAAAAGAATATCTTGAATATTATTATCTTCATAAATATTTTAGTTTATTCAGTTATTGTTTTATTATCGAAAATGTATAGATCTTTTATGTAACTGCCTCAAGAACAACAAAATCAATATTTTATTGTACCAAATTATTGTTTTATTACTGACAATGCAATTTATTTACTTACAGTAGCGCGCAGCGAGATTTCTTCCAGTCACTAAATCCCATAAGACCATCAGTCTTTAATGATATCTCGTCGGTGACAGAATATAATGACATTATAATAACATACAGTTATATATAACAGCGAAAGCGATTGCGTCCGATATCCGATATATGTATATACGTAATAAAATGCCTGTGTATTATTGTATAATAATATAAAAATGACTGAGTGTGTGCGCGAAATTTAGTTACTAACAACGCGAGCGATTGCGTCCGATAACCGATATATACATATTATGCATGTATATACGTATAAATAATAAAATGCCTGTGTATACATAGTCATTTTTATTATTATTGTATAATAATAAAAATGACTATATATATATGTACAAAATGTAGTGTAACAGCAAAAGCGATTGCGTTCGATATCCGATATATGTATATATGTAATAAAATGCCTGTGTATTATTGTATATATAATAATGAGAAATGACTGCGTGTGTGCGTGCGCAAAATGTAGTTATTAACAACGCGAGCGATTGCGCCCGATAACCGATATATCTATCTATTGTGTATATAAAAGAATTAATAATAATCTGTAAAATATATTTTGTAATTTTTAAAAATAACTAATAAACTGTATTAATAATACAAAACGCATATGCCTTTTTATTAAACATACCCATCCATTCCCACATATCTTATCCTGCCACATCTCTTTCTTAATTATATATTTTCTTGATATATTTTTTGCCGATTTTTCGTTCTTGGAATTTCTGAAACTGCATTTCTTGGAATTAAATATCAGAAAAATATAATCAGCAAAGATGTGGCACAAACTATAATTTTAAGAAATGCGAAAAATTAAACTTTCGACATTCGCAAAAGTATCAGGAGAACATGATCAGCAAAGAGGTGACGTATCAAAAGAACATATCAGCAAAGAGGTGGCACAAACCAAAATTTAGAAAAGCGCTAAAATTTAAAGTTTCAAAATTCGCAAAGTATCAGGAGAACATGATCAGCAAAGAGGTGGCGTATCAAGGGAACATATTAGCAAAGAGGTGGCACAAACCAAAATTTAGAAAAGCGCTAAAATTTGAAGTTTTGAAATCCGCAAAAGTATCAGGAGAACATGATCAGCAAAGAGATGGCGCAAACCAAAATTTAAAAAGTGCAAAATTTGAAGCTTTGGAATTCTCAAAAGTATCAGGAAAACATAATCGGCAAAGAAGTGGAGTATCAAGAAAACATAACTAGCAAGAAAGTGGCACAAGGAAAATTTCAAGAAGCGCGAAAATTTGAAGCTTCAAAATCCACACAAATATCAGAATTTTTTTTTTTTTTTTGTTTTTCGAAGGAAGAGAAAAATGCATTATGCATTCCCACCGGCCGGTCCGGTGGGATATGCGGGACTCGCACCCGCTAAAAAACTCTCCCTGCGGGTCCAAAATCTTTGGCTTCCCGCCGATACTTACACAAATTTAAATTCTGAGATATCGAGAACATGATAGGCACAAGAAAGATAATACAAATGACACCAATTTGTCGATTTAATCAATAACAATCATTTCTGTATCAAATTTGTAACCTTTTTACTGACAGCAGTTGATAGCAGACATTTGGCATGATCTGCTTTCGACAGATTTGGCTATCTGGGATAATGACATTATTAAAATTTTTTGAATATGTGACAACTGAGCGGCAACTTTAGCATATTTCAAAAAACGACGATAGTGGTGACATCTAATTATAATTCTAATCCTAACCCTAACCGAATGTGTCTCGGTGTCACTGCCAGAACACGAGTCCCAGCTCAAGCGTGCTAATGGTTGCACCAGCCCGCACCAACACCAACCCCGCACATAATAAACATGGCGGCGATAAGTAAAGCTATGCCTTACACAGATGCCACGAATCTCGATGGGCCGGATACAATTGAGCAAAAGTATGAATTTGTCTTATCTTAATTAGAGATATTTTTAACTTTATATAAAAATAACAAAATATCAATGCTTTAAATTTTTTTATAAGCTTGAATATCAAAATGTGAAGCATAAAATTTCAATCAAATATAAAGAGTTAATGCATTAAATCATTTCCTCTTTTATATAATTGTTTTATCTAATTATATGTCGATAGTATCAATTTTATATATAAAATTGTGATTTATTATAAAAACTGAAAGACAAAGCCATTGTCATTCATTCAATTTTATCATATGTTTTATTATACAATCTTGTTTCTCTTTTATCATCTATTATATATACATATTTTATATTTTTTATAGAATAATTACTCTAGCACAAGGGAAACCCAAGGGTATTTCTGACAAAGACTTAGCTATCGAGATGCCTGATTTACAGCCAGTTCAACGAGCTCAAATTATAAATAAGCTCTTGTCCCAAGGATACTTTGATCTTTATAAACAAGCAGGAGTGCTGTCCTATCGTTTGAAAGACCCAACAAAAATTGCTAAGGGTGCCGATAATGAAGAGAAGATAGTATATAGGATTATTGAAGAAGCAGGGAATAAAGGAATATGGACTCGAGATATTAGATTTAAATCTAATCTGATGCATACTCAACTAAAAAAAATTCTGAAAAGTTTGGAGACCAAAAAGTTCATTAAAGTCGTTAAATCCGTAGCAGCAAGTAAGAAAAAAGTGTATATGCTATACAACTTAGAACCTGATGAATCAGTAACAGGTGGTGCATGGTATCAAGATCAAGATTTTGAAACTGAATTTGTTGACGTATTGAATCAGCAATGTTATCGATTTTTGGAGCAAAAAAGAGAAAAAACGAAAAATAGTAACATCGGGCCTATTGCTGCAAGAAACCTGACATTTGCTTCATCTAAAGATGTATGGAAATTTATTTCAGATTTAGGAATAAGCAAGGTAATATTTTTAATGCATCAAAACATATTTTCTGACTGTTTAAGTTTTCTGTTAAAATTAACGAAAACCATTATGTTTATAGGTGAAATTATCTGTAACAAATATGGAAATGATTTTAAATACCTTAGTTTATGATGGTAAGGTTGAACGGATACTTGCGGGAGATGGAAGTAATTTGTATCGAGCAATTCAGCCTTTAGTTACTTCACCTGGATTGATTAGAACTCCTTGTGGCATGTGTCCAGTAAGACACATTACAAATATATTGTATTTATTATAACATTTATAAAATCATTCTATTTCTTATTTCATGCTTTTTTTTTTACAGGTGAGGAAGCAATGCTTTGATGACGGGCCTGTTACATCTATAAAGTGCCAATACATTAGAGAATGGCTAGATTAGAATTATTTCTAAAATTAAAATATTAATAATATAAAGTAATCTTAATTTAATTTTTTTACATATGTACATTGTAAATATGTGTTGTATTATGAATGTTATGATTTTTGTTATATTTGAATATAAAACTTACATCATACATGAAATAAATTTGTAATGATTATATCTTTTTCATTATTCATCAAAAGATATGCTTTAAGATAATTATATCAATAATAATATAAATAATTATTTTATAATTTGTTTTGAAAGTGAAAGAGAGCAAAGAGATTTTCTGATTGGTCAAATTTCTTATAATATTTCAGATAGTACTCGTGCGATAAAATATTTCGGATGTACCGATTGGCTATCGGATGCAGAATTTCTGGAGACCCTATTAGAATTCTAGGAATTTTTCATCAGACAGCCAATCGGTACGTTTGACAAACTTTTTGTCGTGCATGTAATAGCACACTTCTGAAGTGATGTGTGCATTTTAATAGTTACGTGATATATTTTATATAAATCTCACGATTATACAAGATGCTTTCACATAAACAAATTCCAACATTTCGTTATGATGCAAAAGATTTTAATTTTGCCGTTAAATTATATAAAGAAAGAGAGTCTCTGTTTGATAATGTTTTGCAGCAAACGTGGAAGCAAGCAGAAGAAATCAAAGCATTCCGATATATTTTAAACATAAGGAGTAGTAAATCATTGAAAGGAAAATACAGATTTCTGGCACAGGTACACTCATCGATGTGTATATGAAGAAAATTTTCATCTAATGCACAATACAATAATTTCAGTTAAATCCAGACAGAGCTCAATGTAGACGTACACCAGAATCGATTACATCTATGCTGCAATCTTTTAACTCTACAGGTTTTAATTTTACTAAACTAACACAACAAGAAATATTATTTGATATAGGAAATGGTGACACAAATGATATAGTTGCAATTAATGCCAGTCCTTTGGAACACGGTCATTGTTTAGTTCTTACGGAACGCTTGAAATGTTTACCACAAGTTATGACAGAGTACAGTCTTTACAAAGTGATAGAATTATGTCTTTTAAGTAATTCTTGGTAATAATCTCTGTATTATGAGAAACATTTGTCAAGATGTAATGTAACAGATGTGACATATCTTTTTTTCTTTTTGCTTTTTCTATTCTAGGTCTTTGAGGGCTGCTTTCAATAGCTTGTGTGCTCATGCATCTGTTAATCATTTACACTGGCATTTGTACTATTTGAAATATGAGATGCTTCTTGAATACATTGTAGGTAATATATTTGACAATTGTCTACTTACTATAAAAATTATTTGCTATATATTATAGAAGTCTTTTTTTTTTTTGTCAGGATCTTTGCAGTTATATGTCTGGTGTACATTTATTGATAAATTATCCAGCAAAAGGATTTTGTCTCAAGTTGTCTAATTTTAAAAGTATCCGGGATTTTGTGTCTCAAACATTCCTTATAGTGAATTACTTACAATTACAACAAGTAGCGCACAATGTATACATTACGCGAGCAAAATCACGACCTAATGACGATTTATATAACGATGTACGCATTTATATTTGGGCTAGAAAGCCGTTTATTGGTGTTAAAAACACTGTTGCATTTATACCTGCAGTGTGTGAACTTTTCGGGCATTTATCAATTAGGGGTAAGAGTAATATCCATATCCAATACAATATCATTTCTCTTAGAGTATAAATAATATAGACATATGTATACAACATTTTTTAGATAAAAATGTATACAATAATCTGATGGAAGATGAAGTAAGCAATGTTCTTAATGATATTACAGACGAATATTTCTCATTAATAAAAGATAAGCTTAAATATTTTTTAGAGAAATAAATAGAGAATAAAAGTTATATTAAAAATTTAATGGATAATGGAATAATAAATCTCATCAGTTTTTTTGTGTTGCATTGTAATCAACCTGTACATTAAGATTAATCGAAATATATTCCATATTCTTTGGTTACACATTGTTTATAAGTTTTTTCCATTTGTTTCATGAAAAAAAAAATATATATATATTAAATGGATACTTGATATTTTTGTTTCCTCCATGGATTTCTTCCATTTATATACATTTATTTATATCAATGAATTTGTTTGTAAACAAATTATATCAACAGAAACATATTAATCTAAAAACACATTCACATTTGTCATAGTTATTTTCATGTTACGGTAAAAAATCCGAAATTATTTCGGGAGTTATAGGGTTGATGCTAACATATGACAAAATTTATTATCTCTGCGCACTTCATAAAAATATCCGCCATTTTTGTGATTGCGCGCATTGATTCAACCCATGTGCCAATGTTCGTGAAAAAATCAGCAGTCTCTTTAATGTTTAATATAATAGTAATTCTGCAAAAATCTTTTCTATCTCTCACCAAGTTACAAGTAAAGTAATCTATTTATTTACATTAAGTTATTTAAGCTCCCCTTCTCCACTTTTCTCCATTACTAAACTTAGTCATTTCCCGACCACTAACGCCACAGGTACCGATTCCCACGCGACCATTCACATTCTCCGGTGTCGCAAAGATACTCTTCTTTATGACCCCTTTCTTTGAAGACTGCGGAAAATAATTACAAGGCTGACATGCTTTATAAATACATCTTTGAAATAAATACATAAATGAGTTCTCTTGTGCTATACATACCTTATTGGTAAATGCTAACCATTTGTTTTTCTCCAACTCGCGTTCTTCCTCCAATTCCTTAAATCGCTGCAATTTCCTCTGCTTCTTCTTCTTAAGATATTCTCTTTGCTTGTTTGGATCTGAGCCTGCCACCGCAGCTGCTTGCATCTTCCTGTAAATGAACGAATCTATTATGTAGATAAATACATAAGAAACAAGCCAATTTTTTAAATGAGTAATAGTAAAAAAACTGTTACTATCAATATTCTTACATTCTTATTAAGCACATACATCTCTATAAATAGAAAATTAAAATGTATGTATATATGTAAGTGTGTGAGTGCCACAAAATTATTGACAATTGATTTTTTATAAAATGTAATACTATACTTATTTAATAAATCAATATTTACAAAATAGCAAAACAATATATATATAATTCCTTTTTTCTATAATTATATCAATTATTAATTTGTTTCGCACACAAAGTATGATACCAGAGAAATTGGGCAATTCTTGTTACCTTTTCCTGAAGCCGGGCGATACATACAGACCATGTAACATCAAAGGATAAATGAGCAATAACGAGCAATTTCAGACCAAATATCATACCAATCATGGAGTATTGTTGTCAATTCAAAATAGGAACAAGGGGGAAAATAAATGATTAGTAATTGCTTTATACTTCCTACATTTTTCATAAGGCAAACACGTGCAAAATTGTAAAACATATTAATCTATAGGTGATACATTTATAGATATCATAGATTAAAAATGACTTACTTTGATTTTTGATCTGCCCAATCTGATGCTGGCCTCTTAGCAACAGATTTCAGCTGACTGAGCATGGTAACATCGGTATTCTTATATTCATTGAATGTTATGTTTACAACTCCATCTTCACTTATTGAGTCAATGGTTGCTTCATAATATCTGCAAAATTTTACAAAAATATAATATAAGAAATAAGAACTGCAAAAGTTTTATTTTAGAATAGTTGTGCTTTTTTAGACAAAATATCAATATATCGATTTTTCAAAGAAAATCTATCCATGATAAATACTTGCTTAACACCTTTTCTGCAACTTTTTAATGTTACAAAAATATAACTTGGCAGTTTAAATTCAAATTAAAATTTTCTTAAAATGAAGTCCATCCAATATTAACTGAAAAATAAATAATTCAAAAAATAAAATAAAAAATTTTGCCAAAACTCTTCACAATTTTCAATTAACTATTAAAGTTTGTAGAATTTTATCAAAACTTTTGTATTAAATCATATTTTTATATTTTAATTTCCAGTAATAGCTCAGACAAAATATTTAGCTCCCAAAACGATGCTACATATGTTATAATCTATCCATTGTAAAATTGAATAAAAATTCAATTAAATTAGAACTATTAAATCTATAGAGTACTCACTTGCCGTCTTCGCTCCAAGGTGCCATACATTGATCGCCGACTTTCCATTTATTGGCCAGAACTGCAAGCAAAATAGGATCTTTAGCATCCATGCCATTGGCTTGTCTTTTTTCCTGTTGTTGTGATTTAATTAAATCATGTGTCAGCTTTATTACTTCCTTCAGATCAAATTTCAGCTTTATCAACTCCTCATTATTCGGATCTGTTGTGAGAGCTGCTTCCACCTGAAATACGAAAGGTATGAGTTAGCGCAGAAATATTGTAAACGATCGAGACTCTTCTTTGCATCTAATTAATCGCTATGAGGTTAAGAAAGAATAACAAAACTCACCTGCTGGAGCTGTAGCTTGTAATTCTGCAAATCATCCATGGTGTTTGACTCGAATGAGAAACAGATTATTCAAAATCACAAACCACAGCGTGTTATATTTTTTCTCTTTCACCCCCCCAAATATGTATATCACAATAATATTTCCTCTCGATAATGCCCTTGATTTAAAGTGCAAAACGTATCGCGAACAGTGTTGCCACAATGTAGCGACTGCAACGTTGCTAACTTTTTTTTATGTCACAAATTACAATGCACCATAATGGACGGATGCAATAGATAAGATAGTAGATGATAATGAATAAAATGAATAATTATAGATAAAAAGTATGCCAATATGTTAAGGTATCAGCAAAAGTATCAATTATAGAAGTATCTAAAGTGATGAACTCCAAGATGGCGATTCAATTGTGTTAACATTGCGTTCCAAAACTCATAGAATTGCTGCTAAGTCCGTATCAGATTATGCATTGAAGATTGAGATTGAAGATTAAAATTTGACCAATTAGGACAAAGAAATTTTGGTGACTTTTGTTCTGATTAGTCAAACTCCAATTTTTAGTTTTCAATTTTTCAATGCGTTGTTTAATACGGGCTTAAAGCTGGCTGTCGTCGGTGATTCCAGAATTCCAGTATGCACTTATATGTTCTATAATAGTGAGTGCGAGTATTATTGCAATTTTATATCAGTAATATAGAATTTTATATGATGACAAGTCTGAAGAAATAAATTTTACACACAACGTAACTCTTATATACTTTTAGATTTAAAGAGAGATATGTCATGGCATATCCGGTAATTCTGAATAATTGTATAATAATTGCTTGTATATATATATATAGCAATAATATGACAACTTTATCATCTCACTTGTTATTAATATTACACTGAACTGCTTGATACACGTATATTAATGATTTTAATACACGGATGAATATTATAAAGAAATTGTGGCATTTATCTTTATTTTATTTATTATAAATTGTCTGTGTATGTGTGTAAAGAAAATGTTTGACTTTCTTTAATTATATTTATTCTATCTATTTCTTTTTAAGAACGCAATGTATGGTTCTACTGATCCTGGATCTGGAATAAATCCAGATGTTCAACAATGGTTTTCTATGGTGGATAAAGATGGAAGTGGTCAAATAACAGCTACAGAATTGAAATCAGCATTAGCTAACGGTCAAGGAGGTACTTTCTCTGACACAGCGTGCAAGTTAATGATTGGTACGTTTGCAAATTTTATATACATTTATTGTGATATTGATTAATATAAATTCCTAACAATAAGTCATTTTCTTAAATAAACGATAATTGACTAAAGAGATATTAATAAGAATTATTTCATTTGATTTACAGGTATGTTTGATAAAGAAAAGAATGGCACTATAAATGTATCAGAATTTCAAGCTCTCTATAATTATATAAATGCTTGGCTTGGTGTTTTTCGTGGTTTTGATCATGATAATTCAGGCAGTATACAAGAAAGTGAATTAAGTGCAGCTCTAACACAAATGGGTTACAGACTTAGTCCAGACTTTATTGAATTTCTTATAAAAAAAAGCGATCTTCGTAATCATCAATCTATTACTGTTGATCAGTTTATAGTATTGTGTGTTCAAATACAAAGATTTACAGGTAAATAGGACTTACAGGTATATAGAAAAGATAACATTATGTATATTAGTGTATAATAATTATATAATGTTTTACTTCTCGATCTATATAATATTTTTAACATTTTCATAATAATATTTAGAATGATTTATATGTATAATTTATTAAAATATGTCATTTTATAGAGGCATTTAGAACAAAGGATACGGATCAAACTGGAACAATCACCATTAGTTTTGAAGATTTCTTGGGGGTAGCTCTTAGTTGTAGCATTTAATACTTTTTATTTTAACACTGAAAACAATTAAATTATCACTTGCACACACTTGATGCAAAAGAATAACTATTAATGTAGCTCACATTGCAAATTCTATTTTTTTATCTTAGGAGAGAATATAAAACAGGTTTATATGTATATATTTTTAGATTTATAATAAATGTACTTGTATTTTTTTAGAAATTAAGCATTTTCGCAACTTACTTAGCACATTTAAGCTTTTATTGTGACGTTCTTAAAATAAGAAATAGGATTGTGAATAAATATAAGAAACACTAATTTATATATTCTATCGATTCTAATAATATATCAATACCTCAAATGACAATAAGATGCGTTTATCTTGCGCATTTATATACTTAAGTGACAGTGTATATATATCAAGATATTAAGATAAAGATGAAAATCACATGACAATGCTTAAAGTAAAATATATTATGCATAATGTCTCATAACTTTTTATGTATTGAGTATATGATAAAAGTGAAATAATCCATGTAGTCAACATACAATTTTTGTTAAAATCTATTTCTACCATTTTAACTGGTTCTTTTATGCAGTAATTTATTATA